GGTTTCAAACATGGCGAAACGAAAGAGAGATGATGGTGCTGCTAGGTGGAATTATGGAGGGAAGGTTCGTGGCGCTGTGGCAACAGTACTCCTGCCTGTATGATGTGTCATCGAGGGACTACCACGACAAAACAAAGAAAGGAAAATGCTGGCGAACTATAGTGGAAGCGCTTCAGCAATGTTTACACTCTTGTTTTCGGAAGTCAGTCGCTAGTTCCGCCTTCTCGATGACATCACGCGCGTCGATAAAGACATTACGCAATGAATGGTCGGGAAGCAACGTGTAGTCTGACATGTTTCTTGTCCACGACACGACAAGATTTTAGGAGTCAGAATCGTGTAATCTGACAGTGACTATCGTGACCGACAACAATATCGTGTAGTCTGAACCCGGCATTAGTCATTTATAGGCTTCACTGGGTTGAAGGTGCATGGAGGATAGAAGATTGAGTTTAATGCTTTAAATGTAAAAGTGTAGTTCCTCCGAAAGTGAAATTCTGTCATCATTTATTTACCATCATGCTGTTCTTCAGTGAAACACAAAAGGAGAAAACATAAGCTGAATGTACTTGCTAAGTGAATGGGAATTCTGGAATACTGCCAAAAATACAAAAAGCATCATGAAAGTGGATCATGTGACTGATGCACTGTATTTCAGCTTTCGTGAACAGATTTTGTGAGAAGCAACGCAAAAGTGAAGTTGTTATTTACTCATTTGCAGTTTTCAAACTTGCCATGTTGTGGTTGGTCACATGACATCCAAGAAACAATGGCATCAAACCTAGAGCAACACAGGCTATTTTAAAGGTTTAAAGGCTATTTTTCTACTATTTTTGAATTAGACACAAGTGTGAATGACCTTTGTGAACTTTTTTTTTTCTTCACACATAGATATCATATGGTTCCTAAGACTTGGAACATAGCCAGTTACATGAGCTACCTTTTTTACAGTCTCAGAAACATTTTTACAAAAACTTTACCTATAGAGGTACAGCATTGACAATTTTGTAGCGTATCTACATCTAAGTAGTACCTTGTGGATACATATTATACTCTAATGTACTAATATGCAACTTTTTGGGGCAGATAAGTTACAGAGTTGACCCTTTTAAGGGTACTGTCCCAGTATAATGTTTGCTCATTTTTTCTTATAGTATACCTTTATTGAACCTTTCATCTAAGTATGGAAAAGGGCAGCTATACCTAACATCAACTTTTGTGTTTCATGAAAGACAGAAAATAATACAGGGTAGAAAGAAAACAATACAGGTGTGTAATGACATTATATCAGAAGTGTCATATTTGGGAGAAGTTTTCCTTGTGCTGCAATGTACTGTTGAAAGAAATTGTGTCTTTAACTCTATAATAATTCATTAGAAATGTTCTATTTACAGTATATTTTTATGATATCCAGGGTCAATTAAATGTGTATGTTTGTCACCCCCTTTATAGACGAGTTTGATGATGAACTTCCAACCACCCAGGAAACACTGGAGGGGCACTCAGATGAGCACATTCTTCATCAAACTCCTGTTTTTCCCATCCTTCACTGGGGCCCTTGCATTTGTCATTTATACAATGTGGAGGTTTGTCTCTTCAGAGTATACATTCACATTCTCCAGAATACGATGCAGATGGAGGACCAAATCTGGCAAAATCAAAAATAAATAAAGCATTAAAGGGTTAGTTCATCCAAAAATGAAATTCTGTCATTAATTACTCACCCTCATGTTGTTTCAAATCCGTAAGACCTTCGTTCATCTTCGGAACACAAATTAAAGGCCGGGACACACCAAGCCGACGGTGACGGCGAGCGGCGGTCGGGCTAGTTTGTTTGGTGTGTTCCACTCGTCGGGCTCACGTCGGTGGCAGTTTGCCCGATTCAGCATGTTGCATCGGCGCTGGGACCGTCTGCGTGAGTGAGAGCTCTGATTGGATGTTCAGTTCAGCGAACGAGTCAGTGCCCGAGAATTAAAGCGAAAGTGATGAAAACAAGCACTTAAATGAAGGCGGTACAGACAGAAGGCTGTTTAAATGTTACATGATCTTTCCCAATCATTCTAATACGCAAATGTTTTCATAGCAACATGAGCCGCTTAAAATGATTAAAGTTATCATCGTTACTGATATTCAAAATGGTAAGCAAGCCTGCTTTGTTTACGTTTCGTATATCTGCATTTATCTCGTATATCTTTGTTTCGGTTTCTCCTTTTGAATGACGAATATATACTATTGATAGCTGCTGATATAGACCGTTAATTCCTCTCACGCATGCGCAGAACGCACGTGTTAGTTTGCCGTCGGCTGTAGTCTGTGCGGTGTGTTCGAACACCGTCGACTTTCGTCGCCGCTAGTTCTTTGAAGTCGGCTTGGTGTGTCCCGGCCTTAAGATATTTTTTGATGGAATCTGAGAGCTGTCTGACCCTGCATAGACAGCAATACAACTTACAAGGGTTAATGCAACCACAATACAAGGGTTAGTTCACCCAAAAATTAAAATGAGCCCATAAATTACTCACCCTCAAGTCATCCTAGGTGTATATGACTTTCTTCTTTCAGACGAATCCAGTCGGAGTTATCTTTGTCTTTGATCACAGTGTTTGATCTTTCAAGCTGTTATCCGTCCAAAAGCAGTTAAATAAAATGCGCCCATGCATTAAAAAAAGTGCCTCACACGACTCCAGGGGGTGAACAAAGGCCTTCTGTAGTGAATCGATGCATTTTTGTAAGAAAAATATCCATATTCAAAACGTAATAATCACTTTAATCTAGCTTGCGCTCACTGTTGTACAACACACCAAGCCAACGGTGACGGCGAGCGGCGGTCGGGCTAGTTTGTTTGGTGTGTTCCACTCGTCGGGCTCACGTCGGTGGCAGTTTGCCCGATTCAACATGTTGCATCGGCGCTGGGACCGTCGGCGCGAGTGAGAGCTCTGATTGGATGATCAGTTCAGCGAACGAGTCAGTGCCCGAGAATTAAAGCGAAAGTGATGAAAACAAGCACTTAAATGAAGGCGGTACAGACAGAAGGCTGTTTAAATGTTACATGATCTTTCCCAATCATTCTAATACGCAAATGTTTTCATAGCAACATGAGCCGCTTAAAATGATTAAAGTTATCATCGTTACTGATATTCAAAATGGTAAGCAAGCCTGCTTTGTTTACGTTTCGTATATCTGCATTTATCTCGTATATCTTTGTTTCGGTTTCTCCTTTTGAATGACGAATATATACTATTGATCGCTAGTTTGCCGTCGGCTGTAGTCTGTGCGGTGTGTTCGAACACCGTCGACTTTCGTCGCCGCTAGTTCTTTGAAGTCGGCTTGGTGTGTCCCGGCCTTAAGATATTTTTTGATGGAATCTGAGAGCTGTCTGACCCTGCATAGACAGCAATACAACTTACAAGGGTTAATGCAACCACAATACAAGGGTTAGTTCACCCAAAAATTAAAATGAGCCCATAAATTACTCACCCTCAAGTCATCCTAGGTGTATATGACTTTCTTCTTTCAGACGAATCCAGTCGGAGTTATCTTTGTCTTTGATCACAGTGTTTGATCTTTCAAGCTGTTATCCGTCCAAAAGCAGTTAAATAAAATGCGCCCATGCATTAAAAAAAGTGCCTCACACGACTCCAGGGGGTGAACAAAGGCCTTCTGTAGTGAATCGATGCATTTTTGTAAGAAAAATATCCATATTCAAAACGTAATAATCACTTTAATCTAGCTTGCGCTCACTGTTGTACACTAGAAGCAGTTCCGGGGGAATGACGTATGAGTTCAGCTTTGCGCATGCGCCGCTCAGAAGTGACGCACGCGGAAACACAGCGGAGAGATCAAAACAAAACAACGGTCACTAATTAGAAGTACTAAACGAGGATTTGTAAAGAAGAATTTCGGTGGATTTCGATATAAGCCAAGAGGAGACTGGTTTTCCTTCAGCTGGACGTAAACAGCGTATGCTGTTCTTTGTCAGCTGCGTCACGCCGGATCTGTTTCCTACATGGTTGTGATTTGATCTGAACGAAAAAAGCGTATCCATGATCAGATTATTTTACCGATCTCCTTGCAACGTCTCTGGACTTGGGAACATTTCGGTTGTATTGCTGTCTATGCAGGGTCAGACAGCTCTCAGATTCCATAAAAAATATCTTAATTTGTGTTCCGAAGATGAACGAAGGTCTTAAAGGTTTGAAACAACATGAGGGTGAGTAATTAATGACAGAATTTTCATTTTTGGGTGAACTATCCCTTTAATACACACCCCAGAGCTTCCTTTCAAGGTGGTCTAGCATACTGGTAAAAAAAAAGTCCTTTTGACAATTTTAAAAGGATAGTTGTCTCGAAAAATAAAAATTCTCACATTGTTCTTTTCTCGGTGGAACACAAAAGATATTTGAAGAATGTTTCAGCAGGTTTTGTCCTTCACATATGTTCACATGAATTGTTCCTTCATACGGCATGTTTGTCTTGACACAATGCAAATTATGTAAATTATATAGAGACGTTAAAGTGCTAGTGTGTTTTGTTCTCTTAGGGTCAGGCCCTCATCAGATTGCGGGCCCTTTAGTAACCTCCACAGCATGCTTCGCTTAGGCAAGATGTGGATCAGGGGCCTGAGCAAGTCAAAGCCCAGTATGTTCTGGCTCAGCTGGGCTTATAATCACCTGGTGGACAACCCTTTGTTCCTCTTCATCACGGCAGGCCTGTTCCTGTGAGTACTCCTCACTCGTGGTCTGCTGGGTGCAGTAGAGATCAGATTTGGGTCATTTTTTAAACTGTCATCTCTGTCTCTTTCCAGCACCATTATATACATTCACATGCATCTGTTTCCTACATGGTTGTGATTTGATCTGAACGAAAAAAGCGTATCTGTGATCAGATTATTTTACCGATCTCCTTGCAACGTCTCTGGACTTGGGAACATTTCAGTTGTATTTCTGTCTATGCAGGGTCAGACAGCTCTCAGATTCCAAAAAAAATATCTTAATTTGTGTTCCGAAGATGAACGAAGGTCTTAAAGGTTTGAAACGACATGAGGGTGAGTAATTAATGACAGAATTTTCATTTTTGGGTGAACTATCCCTTTAATACACACCCCCTAGCATACTGGTAAAAAAAAGTTCTTTTGACAATTTTAAAAGGATAGTTGTCTCGAAAAATAAAAATTCTCACATTGTTCTTTTCTCGGTGGAACACAAAAGATATTTGAAGAATGTTTCAGTAGGTTTTGTCCTACACATATGTTCACATGAATTGTTCCTTCATACGGCATGTTTGTCTTGACACAATGCAAATTATGTCAATTATATAGAGACATTAAAGTGCTAGTGTGTTTTGTTCTCTTAGGGTCAGGCCCTCATCAGATTGCGGGCCCTTTAGTAACCTCCACAGCATGCTTCGCTTAGGCAAGATGTGGATCAGGGGCCTGAGCAAGTCAAAGCCCAGTATGTTCTGGCTCAGCTGGGCTTATAATCACCTGGTGGACAACCCTTTGTTCCTCTTCATCACGGCAGGCCTGTTCCTGTGAGTACTCCTCACTCGTGGTCTGCTGGGTGCAGTAGAGATCAGATTTGGGTCATTTTTTAAACTGTCATCTCTGTCTCTTTCCAGCACCATTATATACATTCACATGCAAGTTTTGGATGGCCAAAAGATGATCATTGTAAGGTTACAAGAACAAATAGACAATGTGAGTATCATGAGCCTTGTGGAAAAGTACGGTAGCATTTTTTTAAAAAGTACCTATTACTTAATACTTTAAAAGAATATACTTAAGTGTGAACTTAATATTAAATATTATTATATTAAATGTAATTAGTTGAACTTAAGTTTTTTTTCATGCACTTAAACAGGACTTAAGTACCTTATATGTAATTTAAAAATTATATTGTCTTTGAAGTATGGATAAAGTGTACTGCTGAAGGTACTGACAAGCTTATGTGGTAAACTAAAATTTAATGAAATTTCTATTGAAACCTGTATGTCATGCATTTAAATATACTTGTATTTAAACATTTGTAATGGTGAAGTTGCGATTTAGTACATTTCAAATATGTTAACTTTAAATGCAATATCAAATAAAAAACACTAGTTAAATTATAGTCAAGTACTTTACATGCGTTTTAGTGTGCTAGTCAACACAAAATAAGTGTACTTCTTTAAAGCACATCAAAAGTGTATTAAAACATAATGCTTTTAAAAACATTTAATTTGAAATGATTACAAAGTGTCTCAAGAAAAAAAAAGTCAAGAAATTAAAAGTCTCTTTAAGTGCACTTAAGTGTCTTTTTATTTCATTAATATATTATCTGCAAGTACAGTTTTTTTAAATATACTTTTAAGATTTGAGGTACACAGCAAGTGCACATTATTAAGTATAATTAAGGGGATACACTTTCAATTAGTAAACTTGGTTTCCATGTTTAATGGGGACATTCCATGGGCATAATGGTTTTTCTACTGTACAAACGGTATGTTCTATCCCCTCACCCTACCCTAAACTTACCCCTCATAGAAAACTACAGGCATTTTTATGTTTTCAAAATTTTCTTTCTGTATGACTTACAAGCTGTTTTCCTCGTGGGGACCAAAATGTCCCAACAAGGTCAAAATTGACTGGTAATACTATACTTGTGGGGACCCCATAATGTAGTGACTACACACACACACACACACACATACATGGTTCATGTGGAATCTGCATAGGTGTAATGGTTTTTATTCTGAGCTAGTCAAATTTTCTATCCTCTAACAGAAATCTTCTGGCATTTTTTTAATAAAAAAAACCCACTGTTTATTATGTTTTTTAACCATTTGGTTTACGAGGACATGACACACAGCCTAATGATTTCTTGTTATCATCTCATTTGGCTTCTTAGGAGGGTGAAGATAAGAAGTTCCTCATAGCTAAACTACAGAGCCTCAATGAGGCGAGTGCTCCGCAGTGAGCTTTCAGTCTTTCCTTTTAACTCGAAATTCTCCCTTTACATTCTGCATTCAGGATGTTTGATGTTCAGATAAAATGAATGTTTGAAGACAAATTCCACAGCTTTCAACATGTTGCAGTGGTTCACTTCTTTCTTGTTTCCATGACCTCGTCACCTGCTGATTTGTTTCATCCAGGAAGGCTGAATTCTACAGAAATGAATTCAGAAGGATACATTGTGGAAACAACCTCAAAAAATATACCTGAGAAACCGGTGCGTCTTATATAGAACGCAAATTGCACTCATATTTAGTAGTGTTATTGTCATTTAGTCATAAAAATATTAAATGAAAAGGTTCATTTTTGCTTATGGAAATGTTTTTGTTTGTCAGTTTATGCCACTGCTTAAAGGCTATATTTTTGTATGGTTGAGGATGTGATAATCATTTTAAATATTTAGAGAACTGTTTTAAAGGGCAACAGGGTATCAACATGTTAATGATGAGATTCACTTCAGTTTATCTCTGCTGTGTTTTGTACGTTTGAAATCAACAAATGAATGCAACATATCTGTAAATGACAATTATTTGTGAATAATTGCTCTTATTTTACATTGTTATTGAGATATCACACAACTCTGTGAAATGCACGTGTCCGATTCGTCAAATGATCATGTTTCTTTTTTTGTATACTGTATAACCTTTCCACGGTGCTAGTGTCTTTTGAATAATTGTTAAATCAGTTTTGTGATAAAGATCGACTGACTGAACAGTACTCATTATTTTTACTGGTGTATTTCCCTTGGACAAAGACTGCTAAGGTCACTTGACATTGTAATATGTGACCCTGGAGCACAAAAGCAGTCTTAAGTCGCTGGGGTATATTTGTAGCAATAGCCAAAAATACATTGTAGGGGTCAAAATTATTGATTTTTCTTTTATGCCAAAAATCATTAGGATATTAAGTAAAGATGTTCCATGAAGATATTTTGTAAATTTCCTCCTGTAAATATATTAAAACTTAATTTTTGATTAGTAATATGCATTGCTAAGAACTTCATTTGGACAACTTTAAAGGCGAGTTTTTTGCACCCTCAGTGTAACGGGGCTGACGAGACGTGAGACGTGTGGATCCATCTGCAAGCTTTTATTAAAGAGACGTGGTATAACAGGCAGGGTCGAACAATGGCAAACAGGTATATGGCGGGCAAAAACACAAGAATAGTCCTAGGGCTAGCGTAGGTCACCGATCGGCAGACAGAATCACAGGGGCGAGACGAGAGGGAGAAATCCAGGAAAACAGGCAAAGATCAGAAACCGCAAAAACAGGCAAGGCAAAACAAGGAAAACACGGAGACTCAGAAAGGGGTACAGGCTAAACAATATTCAGCCGAGGACAGTGGTTTGAGTGGGTGTTATATAGTGAGTGAGGTGATAAGAAACAGCTGTGTGCAATGAGTGCAATCAGTGCAGTGTGCAAACCGTGCAATGAATGATGGGATATGTAGTCCGGGGTGCTATGCAACAGTTTGTGTTGTGCGAGAGTCAATGTAAAGGAAAGGGTGACCTCTGGTGGTGAATAAACGGAAGGCCATGGACCGAATTCGTGACACTCAGATTCCAGATTTTCAAACAGTTGTATCTCGGCCAAATATTGTTCTATCCTAACAAAACATACATCAATGGAAAGCTTATTTATTCAGCTGATGTATAAATCTCAATTTTGAAAAATATACCCTTATTTTGTGGTCCAAGGTCACATACAGGGACGGATTATGACGCAGCGGTGCCCTTGGCACGGACCATTTAAAGGCCCCCCTTGGTTGAAATTTCGTTCCTTTTTTATTCAAAATTTTTTCAAACTTGTTAACTATATCATAAAATATCACGATTCTCAAATATAAGTAAATACATTTTGCACCTTTATAGATCATGTTAGTTTATCTATAATGGGTTATGGGGAAAGTATCCTAATATTAGTGTAATCTATTAACTAGCCTATGCATAAAACCCCCCAAAAAAAGCAGGAAGGCAGATTTGAATTTGGCAGCTGATGCTGTGCCGCATCGTATCAAATATAAAAAATATATTTTTTTGTTGGTCTTTTGGAAGCTGCATTCAGAATCTACTTTTCTTAAAATCCTGAGGGGGCACGGTTGAAATCGCGTTCTTGGAGGAGCAGTATTTTGGCTGGGCCCCGCTCTGGTCTAGTGCCCTGGGCACGTGGCCGGTTGGCCTGTGCGTTAATCCGGTGTAGTGCCGAAATATGCAACCTGCCAAATTATGCACCCCCTAGAATTGGTAGGTTTAGGAGTAGGGGTGGGGGAGGGGTTAGGATTAGGGGTGGGGTTGGGATTAGGCAATCAGGTAGTGACTTCAACGAGGGGGTGCATAATCTGGCAGGGGTACAGAATTTGGCACAACACCGGCCCTATGGGGTATTTAGGGCTACGGATTTTGTCTGAACCTGTCAGACTGAAATCTGAAGAATTGTAGTCACATGGACCAGAGCTCAGGATACCGTGTGATGTACTGCATTCTGTGGGAGGAGTTTCTTTTATCTGTTTGACATCCACCTTGTGAAGGAGCTGTAAGAAGCTACTGTGGTTCATTTGGCTCCCAACATCCCATCATATCAACGACAGCAGTCATTCAGAAAGGTGCATTGCAGTGTGTGTTTCCTCTTGTAATTCAGCTGTTACCCATTACTTTTACATTTTCCACTGATTGTTAATCATTAAATGAATTGGTTAATTCTGTTGGTTTTGTATAATTGCTTGTTTTATGGATCTTTAACAAATAAGCTTAGAATGGTTGCCCCATTGATATATACTGGGATTAATATTATTATAAAAAAAATTTAAAAATGTATTATTGTTAAAATGCATTATTATTAAATGTATTATTAAAAATGAAATTATTTCAGTCTTTACACTTTAAAAACAATCACATTTAATTCAATGTGTAACTTGTCGTTTCTTTGTAATCATTTGTGAGCATGTACTTTCAAAGTAAAACCTACCATTTTTTTTTTTTCAGTTTAGAGTTTATTCAACAATGCAATCTTCACAACGTTTATACATCCACCTCCCAGAAAAAAAGAATCTGGTGAATGGGTGAGCAATGTCAGAAATGATCTTTCCTGTCCTGCAGGAATTGATTTGCAGGGTCATTTTATACAAAATACTTAAATATAATCAATTGTTTCTAATAAATTCTTAATTTGAATGGCTGTTAATTATAAACTTAAATCAACAGAAGAAAACTGGATATAAAATAATCCACAAGATAAAAAAAACAACAACAAAAAACATCACAGCTTGAAGATGCACAATGATTGACAGGCAGAAAGAGGCTCAAAGTCATCTGATTGGCTAAACAAAGAAACGGACCACAATCACATTTGTTTTCCAGTTGACAGAAGCTATAGACAGGTGTGATATTTTACGACAGCAAAATTAGTGCTACATGTCAGGTAATATTATCTGAGTGCCGTTACATAAACAATGGCTTACAGTGCCTTTATTTACCACTGGCTTTCAATCTGTTTTAGGTGCAAGTTTGAGTTTTTTTCCCTGTGTCGCTATACATACCACATACAGTAAGTGATTTGGAAAATGAATGGATGGAAGTATGTGATTTGATCGATGTCTTGTCTGCCTTTCTTCATAGGACCATGGGATTGTTGTTACAGATTTGAATCCATTTTTGACACACAGTGAGCTTCACAACTACTTGTAAAAATTTGGGACAATTACAGAATGTGTCGTAAGTACTTTTATAATCGAAAACTTTTAACAGGGCAGATATACGTTATATGGAAGTTAAACCTGACTCTGAATCAACTTCTAGTTGGTGGGATGATTTGTGTTGCTTTAGTAAAATAGACCAGGGGGGGATTCCAGAAAGCAGGTTATGTGATATACCTGGGTATGTTTGAGGATAAGCGAGCGGATAACCTCAGCTTTCGGTTCCAAAATCGGAGGTTACTTTCAGGGTATGTAATTTAACCATAGTAACTTGCTCTCTGGAGATAACCTGCTCCGAAGCAGGTTATGTTCCAGGGTTAGTTCACTTCAGCGCACGTGTGATCTACTGACCAGCCTTCAGTGGGCGTGACAGATAGCGCACAACATTATATAATATTACAATATGTAATATAGCCTATTATATATATATATATATATATATATATAAATATATATATTTGTATATGTTACTATGTTACTGATGAAGTGCTAATATAAGTAGGCAAGTAGGCAAGGTAATATATTATTCTAATATGGTTATTATATTTATTTTATTGGCATATATAACAGTTATCTGTTTAAATTATAAAATACTATGACAAGGTAATGTTTAATGTATTATATTATATATATTTATTTATTACATTTTATATTATCATCTCACACATGGATCGGCATTTTCTATAATGTCTCAATTCTAAATCAAAATACATATCTGCTATGACTTAATATATTATTAGCATCAAACAAACTATATAAGTCATATTCTCAAGGATTAAACATTAAACGGAAAAAAAAAAATGATTGCAAAACCATCAATTAGGTGGCGATATGCACTAAGCATGTAAACGACCATTGAACAAAAGAAGAAGAAAGATACTCCGAGTTGAATGAACTTACTCCCGGATGCGTTTTTGGAACCACATACCTCGGGTAAGCAAGGTTTGGGGTTAATCAATCGAAAGTTCAGGGTTTAGCTGACGGTAAGTTAAACGTGCTTTCTGGAATACACCCTTGGGGTATGTGACATACCCAAAGCAGGTTATGTGACATACCCATGTTTAAGGGTAAGTAAACTTAGCTTTCGGTTCCAAAAACGGAGGTAACTCTTACGGTAAGTAGCCATATCAACTTATTTCCTGAACATAACCTGCTCTGGAGTAGGTTCTGTTTCAGAGTTAGTTTACTTCAGCACTATCAGCACATGCGTGACCTTATAATATTATGATTAAAATATAGTTATCAAATATACTATATATATATATATATATATATATATAGT